CATCATCAGACTGTCCAAAACTATGAGGGAGGAGCCTATGACTACTATTAAATTGGGAAATAAATATTTGGACTGTCTGATCGATACCGGTGCCACCATGTCCTCTGTACCTCGCTCTGCGGACCTTCTAGAAAGTGGCCGCCTAATTGAAAACCATGGGGATAGCTGGCGTCCCGCAGGCGGAACCTCTTTCCCTGCCAGCTCAATTGAAAAGAAGGAAAGAGATGTCACGGATACTTTTATTATTTCAGAGATAGTAGGAACTGCAGATGCTGGAGAATGCTGCTTGGCCTGCTGTGTTCATCCAGCCCTGCACCTTGTTGTCTCTACTTTTATTATTTGTAAGGCAGCCCCACTCCCCCTACTGGGCTGACAAACTCTTTGTAAACATTGTACGACCGAGGGTATATACATGGAGCTCCCCCAAATTAGAGTTCACCAAATGCTGCAACTGATGAATGAGCCAAAATTAGGCGATACAGAGCCCATATTATACTGTCGGCAGCTGGACGGCGACCTCTATACCCCAGGACTCCGGCAAATGCAGACTGCTCTGCAGAATTTCACAAGACCCTATGCCCAGAATTTGTGCTTTTTAATCAGCACCAGTCAAGAAAAGGAGAGAGTCCACTGCACAGCCTACTATACTGCGCAGGCTGACCCACTTTACGATAAATTGATACACCCTTATCGGAACAGAAGAGTTGAAAACGACACAGTACATTTACTTTGGTCTCGAAGGATTTGGGATCGTCGTGGAACTAGCAGAGGATCAGGAAGGCAGGTTTAGAATGGGAGATTCCTCGCTGGCCCACTTGACAGTAGCCGTGAAACCACCGGCGAAACCTAGAGATATCGGGACGATGATAAAACGCATGATAGCCGAAACTAAGATCATCTGCACTATAGCCCTGCCCGTGTACGGACAAAGAGCACGCATTGAGTTCTTTAACAACAGGGAGGGGAGGATTGCTATACACCCTGAGGTCAGGGGAACCATTTTTGAAAGGCAGCAATCACCAAAAGAGGATCCTCTTCTCCTCCCTACAGTCCTAGCACAGGTACCAGTAAATCTATGGGCACAGCAAAAAAATCATGTGGGGAAGGCCGACACGGCACCGGAGCCCAGGGTTATCCTGCAGAAGAATGTGGTGTTGCTGTGTGTTAAACAGTACCGTTTAACCACTGAAGCAGAGGACGGCATCGCCCCGGTGATGGACTCGCTTCTGCAACAAGGGGTAATAATGAAGACACAGAGCCCCTGTAACACCCCTATACCGCCCACAGATTCCGCGCCGACCCTCCAAATAGCATCCCATCCAGGACCCACTCCCTACTTTATCCCCGTATCCCCATATTTCCTATGGCTAATCCACCTCACCTACGCATCCCTGGACTGTGGGAGGAAACCGAAGCACCCAGAAGAAAACTGCACAGACACGGGGATTAGGTGCAAACTCCACCCATGTAATCACCCAAGGCTGGAGTGGATTCCACATCTCTGCGCTGTGATGCAGCAGTGCTAACCACTTAGTCACTATGCCGCCCTAATCAGCACTTATTCCACCTCCTGTCAATCGTAACTGACCCCACAATATGTCAATCAAAAGCAAGAAGTCACTCATAGTCAGAAGGTGTAGAATCTGTCTGGGTAGAGTTGAGGAACCACAAAGGAAAAAGACAATGATGGTGGCTATGCACAGGCTTCCTAGCAGTAGTCAGGCTGTGGGGAAGAAAATAAATCCAGACATAGAAAAGGCATGTAAGAAAGGCAGCATTGAGGGCCTTCAATATTCAGGTCGACTGGGAAAATCTGATTGGTAGTGGATCTCTAGAAAAGGAACTCGTGGAATGTCTACAAGATAGTTGTTTGGAGCAACTTGTGGTAGAGCCCACACAGGAACAGGCAATCCTGGATTTAGTGACATATAATGAGACAAACTTGATTAGTGAGCTGAAGATAAAAGACCCTTGGGGCCAGTGACCATAATATGATATAATCTATCCTGCAGTTTAAGAAGGAGAATATTGAATCAGATGTTACGGTATTACAACTGAGTAACTAAAAAGACATGAGGGAAGAGCTGGCCAGAGTTTGAGTGGAAAGGATCCCAGCATGGAAGACAATGGAACAGCAATGGTAGGGGTTTCTGTGGGTAATTCAGAAATTCAGCCAGAGGAAGAATAAACTTATTAAGGGGAGGATGGGGCAGTTATGAATGACAAAGGAAGTCAGGGACAACAAACAAGCAAAAAGGAAAAACATACAATGTGGTGATGTTTAGTGGGAAGTCAGAGAATCAGGGAGCTTTAAAAACCTGAAGAGAATAATTAAAAGTGCAATGGCGGGCGTGGGCAAGATGACATATGACAGTAAGCTAGCTAGTCTTATAAAAGTAGATTGCAAGAGTTGTTTTAAGATATCTAAAACCACTGGAAAATGAAGTTGGAGAAGAAGTAATTGAGAAAAAGAAATGGCAGAGGAACTGAATAGGTACATCATCTGTTTGGATTTCCAAAGGGCCTTTGGCAAGGTGCTGCACAAAGCTTGCTAAATAAGATGAGCACATGGTGTTAGTGCAAGATACTGACATGAAGAGAGGATTGACTGACTGGCAGAGGCAGACGGTAGGGATAAAGTGGTCTATTTTAGGATGGCAGCCGGTGACTAATGCAGTTCCATAGGAATCAGTGTTGAGACCACAACTATTCATGTTAAACATTAACAATCTAAATGAAGGAGCTGACGGCATTGCTGCTTAGTTTGCAGATGACACAAAGGTAAATGGAGGGACAGATAGTGTTGAGGAAATTGCAGAAGAGCTTGGACAGGCTAGGCGAGTGGCAGATGGAGTACAGTGTGACAAAGTGTGAAGTTACGCACTATAGTAAGAAGAAGAGGTGTAGACTGTTTTCTAGATGGGGAAAGGCTTCAGAAATCTGAAGCACAAAGAGACTTAGGATTCCTAGTTCAGGATTCTCTCAAGGTTAACATGCAGCTTCAGCTGGCAGTTAGGAAAGCAAATGTAATGTTGGCATTCATTTGAAGAAGGCTAGTATATAACACCAGGGATGTAGTGCTGAGGCTGATTAAAGCTCTGGTCAGACTGCATTTGGAATATTGTGAGCAGGAACCTCAGGAAATATATGCTGGCATTGTTGGGGTCCAGAGGAGGTTAACAAGAGTGATCGCTGGGATGAAGGGCTTGTCATATGAGAAATAGTTGAGGACGCGGGGTCTGTGCTCAAGGAAGGCTGAGGGCAATCTGATTAAAACTTACAGAATACTGAGAGGCCTGGACAGATTCATAGAGTTGTACAGCACAGACACAGACTCTTTGATCAAACTTGTCCATGTCAACCAGATATCCTCAATTGATCTAGTCCCATTTGTCAGCATTTGGCCCATATTCCTCTAAATCCTTCCTATTCATGTACCAACTGAGATGCCATTTAAGTGTTGCAATGTAACAGCCTCTACCACTTACTCTGGCAGCTCATTCTGTTCACGCTTGTAAAAATTGCCCGTCAGGTCCCTTTTAAATCTTTCCCTTCCCACCTTAAACCTATGCCCACTAGATTTGGACTCCCCCATCCCTGGAAAAAAACTTTGTTATTCACACTATTCATGCCCCTCATGATTTTGTAAACCTTTAGAAGGTAATCCCTCAGCCTCTGATGCTCCAGGAACAAAAGCCCCAGCCTATTCAGCCTCTCCCTATAGCTCAAACCCTGGCAACATCATTGTAAATGTTTTCTGAGTCCTTTCCCTTTGAATGACATCCTTCCTACAGCATGGAGAGCAGAACTGAATGCAGTATTCCAAAAGTAGCCTAACCAATGTGCTGCACAGCTGCAACATGACTACCCAATTCCTATACTCAATGCATTGACCAGTAAAGGCAAATGCCGTCTTCACTCCCTGATCTACCTGTGACTCTACCTTCAAGGAACTATGAATCTGAATGGCATGGAGATGTTTCCACCAGTAGGAGACACTAGGACCTGAGATGAGGAGGAATTTCTTTAGTCAGAGCATGGTGAATCTGTGGAACTCATTGCCACAGAGGGCTGTAGAGGTGAGCTCATTGAATGTATTTTAGACAGATATAGATAGGTTCTTAAGAAGGGTCACTCTGTTTTCTCTTCACAGATGCTGCCAGACCCGCTGAGCTTTTCGAGAAATTTCTGACTTTGTTTTAAAGATTGGTTCTCGATTTGGAAAGCACAAGAACTGCCATAGAGATAAAGCAAGCTTGTAGGGCTGAATGTCTGTGTTTCTGCTCCGATATCTTCGGTTTAAAAGTGACCCCTCCCATTGTCAATTAACACTAACAACATCCGCTCCCACTCCTTATCGATAAGGTACTTGCTCTGTCCAAGCTTTATTCAAAAACACTACGGGCGCCTGTGATTGGTCCGCATCACGCCAATCAGAGTGCAGACCCACTGACCAATCAGGAGCCAGCCTTTGCGTGGCAGAGGGAATTTTAAAGCACACAAGGAGCTGTTCGATTACCGGCTGTCCCTGGGATCCAGCCCTTTGTCCGGGGGTCGGGATCGCAGGATCAAACCCTTCTCCCGGTGATCCAGCCCCGTGTCCTGAGGCCACAATATCACCTCCTTCTTTCCCGGAACCAATCCCGTGTCCGAGGACCGGAGTATCATCCCACAGCCCCGCGCCTGGGGGACGCAGGATCACACACCGCCTTCCCCCCTCCCCGCGGCCCAGCCCCGCGCACCCCCCCCCCCCCCCCCCCCTCCGACTTCCCCGGAATCAGTTCTGGGGACGCAAGATAATCCCCGTCTCCCTGTGATCCAGTCCCGTGTCCGGGGGCCGCATCATCCCCTCGCCCCTCTGGGACTCTTCGGGGAACCCCCATCCCGAATCCGCGATACAGTAAGGGCTGCTTATTCACTCTGTACCCGATCCAGGCTGCGGAAATGGCTGGACAGGAACATCAGGTACCGAGTGAGGATGGACGGTAAAGGGAAGAGTATAGGTGTGTGAGCGGTGACAGGGAATAGGCGAAGGGTGGGAGCGAAGATGATTGGAGTGGGGGGAAAGAACGAGTGTGGGCTCGGGGACGTAGGCTCGGAGAGGGAGGTCGGAGAGGGGGAGGACAGGGGGAAGTGGGAGAGGACAGGGGCAAGTGGGAAGGGGTGGGAGAACGATGTGAAGAGGGGAGGGGGAACGGCAGACGCACGGAGGAGGAACAAAGATGAATCTGCTGTAAAGGAAAAGGGCTAACTATGTTTTCTTGTTGCAGGGACACAGCTCACAGAAACTACTCCTTCAGCTGCTGCTGCTGCTAAATATTGTTGCTGCTGTTCCAGGTAAGTGCTGTGACTGCTGGAAGTGACGTGCTGAAAGGAAGATACTTAATGTCTTCGGGTTAACCCCAGGATGTGCACAGTGGCATCTGAACACTGGCTGGGGGAGGGTGCACACTGTCTCTGCCTCTTTCAGACCTTCAGGTGCTGCGTTACCCTGAGCTGAAAGGAAGTCACTTAATGTGTTAAGATTAACCCCTGGGATGTGAACAGAGGCATCTAGGCGCTGAATAACACTAGGTGTCACTGGGATGGGAGACTGGGGTCCAGTGGGATTGGGATGGGGTACTGAACATTGGGATCAGGTCTCTGAGAAATTCTAGGCATTAAACAGAATTGGAAATTGGTGCCGTGTGGGGGAGTGGTGTCATCGGACTGGGGATTGGGCTTTGAATCCTGGGATGGGGCAAAGTCTGGCTGTATTGAGGGAATATTAGAACAAGAGTGGGCCATTCAGCCCCTTGAGCCTGTTCCACCTTTCAATGAGATCATGACTGAACTGTGGCCAAACTCCGTTTAACTGCCTTTGGCCCATATCTCCTGTATTTGCGCTTAATAAAAATTAATCTCAGATTTAAAATTAACAACTGATCCAGCATCCACTGCCCTTTAGTGTAAGAGAGTTTCAAACGTTTGTCACACATAGAAGTGCTTCCTGATATCTCTACTGAATGGTCTGGTCCTAATAGTCAGACTATGCCCCCTAGTTTTAGAATCTCCAACCAGTGGTAATAGTTTACCTTTATCAACCCAATCTTTTCCTGGTCATATCTTGAAGATTTCGATCAGATCACCTCTTACCCTTCCAAATTCTGGAGAAAAGAAAAGTATATTCTCTCCCCGTAACTTGAACCTGAAGTTCAGGTATCAGTCATGTAAGCCTGCAATTTGCACTCTCTCCAAGACCAACACATCCTTTCTAAGATGTGGTGCCCAGATCTGCTCACAATTCACAAAACCAAGGTTATTGAAAAATGCAGTGTAACATGTGTATCCTCATCTGAACCTACACGTTTATTTGGACATCCACTGTATTTGATTTCATACCATCTAGAAAGTACCCTAACGTATCCTTTTAAGTCATAAAGGAGAGAAATAGAATGTGACAAGTTAGTGACAGAGGGAGGTAAGATCCACATTTCAGGTTCAGGAGATGGGTCGTTACCCCTTTAGGTGGAATGTGTTACATTGTCTGTTTTTGAGTATGTCGCTGTTTATCTTAATCCACAGACCAAGTCAGTTAACTGTCGGTAGTCACAACAAAACACAAGTTGCTGAAAAGCTCAGCAGGTCTGGTAACATCTGTGAAGAAAAATTCAGAGTTAACGTTTCGGGTCTGGTGACCCTTCCTTAGAACTGATGGTAGCTGGGAAAATGCTGATTTTTATGAGGTAGGGAGTAAACGATAGGATAAAGCCTGAAGAGAGAGAAGAGCAGTTAGACAGACCAAGGAGTTGATAACGATCTGGCTTGGAAGGTGAATAGTTGTTAATGGGGACTGTTAGTGACTAACAATAGGTAATGTGTATGTGATAACATGGCCTGGTGTGTGGGGCAGGGGGCTAGGATATGGGAATTTAGGCCCTAAAATTATTGAACTCAACATGGAGTCTGGGGGGCTGCAGGGTCCCCAAGTGGAAGATGAGGTGTTGTTCTTCCAGCTTGTGTTGAGCTTTGCTGGAACACTGCTGCAAGCCAGAGACAGAGATGTTGTTGGCCAGGGAACATGGTGGTGTGTTAAAGTGGCAGGCAACAGGTAGCTCAAGGTCTTTTTTCCGAGCAGAACGTAGATGTTAGAACATAGAACAGTACGGCACAGTACAGGCCCTTCGGCTCACGATATTGTGCCGAACTTTTACCCTAATCCTAAGGTCTATCTAACCTCCACCCCTACGTTATACTATCATCCATATGGGTATCTAATAGTTGCTTAAATGCCCTTAATGAGGCCAACTCCACTACCTGCTCTGGCAATGCATTCCACACCCCAACCACTCTCTGAGTAAAGAACCTACCTCTGACGTCTCCCCTATATCTACCTCCACTCACTTCAAAACTATGCCCCCTCGTAATAGCTACCTCCACCCGAGGAAAAAGTCTCTGGCTGTCTATTCTATCTATACCTCTGATCATTTTGTACACCTCTATCAAGTCACCTCTCATCCTTCGTCGTTCTAAAGAGAAAAACCCTAGCTCTCTCAACCTTTCCTCATAAGACCTTCCCTCCATTCCAGGCAACATCCTGGTAAATCTCCTCTGCACCTTTTCCAACGCTTCCACATCTTTCCTGTAATGAGGCAACCAGAACTGGACAGAATACTCCAGATGTGGCCAAACCAGGCTTTTGTGTAGCTGGAGCATAACTTCACGGCTCTTGAACTCAATCCCTCTATTAATGAAAGCTAACACGCCTTCTTAACAACTCTATCCACCTGGGTGACAGCTTTCAGGGAACTGTGGACATGAACGCCAAGATCCCTCTGCTCCTCCACACTGCCAAGAATCTTTCCGTTAACCCTGTATTCTGCTTTCAAGTTTTTCCTTCCAAAATGAATCACCTCACACTTTTCAGTGTTAAACTTCATCTGCCACTTCCCAGCCCAGCTCTGCATCCTATCAATGTCCCTTTGTAACCTAGGACAGCCCTCCGCACTGTCCACAACACGGCCCACCTTCGTATCGTCTGCGAACTTGCTAATCCACCCTTCCACTCCTTCATCCAAATCATTTACAAAAATCACAAATAGAAGAGGACCCAGAACAGATCCTTGTGGTACACCACTCGTAACTGAGCACCATGTTGAATATTTTCTGTCCACTACCACCCTTTGTCTTCTAAGGGTCAGCCAATTCTGAATCCAATCTGCCACATTTCCCCCTATCCCATGCCTCCTTACCTTCTGCATGAGCCTATCATGGGGAACCTTATCAAATGCCTTACTTAAATCCACGTATACCACATCCACTGCTCTACCTTCATCCACGTGGTTGGTCACCTATTCAAAGAATTCAATAAGGTTTGTGAGGCATGATCTACCCCTCACAAATGTTCTGCGAAGCAGTCACCCAGTCTGCGCTTCGTTTCCCCAATGTACAGGAGACCACATTGTGAGCAGCGAATGTAGTAGACTACATTGTAGGAAGTGCAGGTGAAGTGTTGCTTTACATGGAAGGTATGTTTGGGCCATTGGATAGTGGGGAGGGAGGAGATAAATGGGCAGGTGTTGCACCTTCACCGGTTGCAGGGGAAGGTGCCATGGGGCTTTGGGGAGGTGGGAGGGGAGGTGTTAAGGTTGAAGGAAGTGTGGACCAGGATGTCCCGGAGGGAACGGTCCCTGCGGAAAGCGGACAAGGTAGGGGAGGGGAATATGTGTCTGGTGGTGGCATCTCGCTGGAGGTGGTGGAAATGGTGTCTGATGATCTTCTGGATGGGGATGCTGGTAGGATGGTAGATGAGGACAAGGGGAACGCTTCGCTGTTATGCGAGAGAAGAGAAGGGGTGAGGGTGGAAGTGAGGGAAATGGGTTGGATCCGGTTGAGGGCCCTGTCGACAACGGTGCTGGAAATTCCTTGGTTGAGGAAGAAGGTGGACGTTTCAGAGGCTCTTGTTGAAGTTGGCCTCATCTGAACATATGTGATGGAGTCGGAGGAACTAAGAGAATGGGATGGAGTCTTTACAGGCAACAGGGTGTGAGGATGCATAGTCCAGGTAGCTGTGGGAGTCAGTGTGTTTACAGTGGATATTGGTGGCCAGTCTATCCCCAGAAATGGAAACAGAGGTGTCGAGGAAGGGAAGGGAGGAGTCAGAGCAATCTGAGTTAGAAGCCTCAGTAGTCATCTGTTCCAGTGTTTAATTTTATTTTAAAATAAATAAGTTCTGAGTACAGTTAATGCTTTTAAAAGCTATGAATTGGACATGTTTTAGCTGTTGCTGGGATTGGAGGGGTTAGACTGTGGGGAGAGGCTGAATAGGCTTTCTTCCCTGGAGCACTGGAGGCTGAGGGGTGACCTTATAGAGGTTTTTAAAATCATGAGGGGCAAGAATAGGGTGAATAGCCAAGACCTTTTCCCAGGATAGGGGAGTCCGAAACTGGAAGGCATAGGGTTAAGATGAGATTTAAAAAGGACCTGAGGAATATCTTTTTTTTTCTTTTTCTTCTATTCATTTGTGGGATGTGGGCATCACTGGCTGGCCAGCATTTCTTGACCATCCTTAGTTTCCCTTGAGAAGGTGCTGGTGAGCTGCCGTCTTGAAGCGCCGCAGTCCTACTGCTGTGGGTTGACCCACAATGCTATTAGGGAGGGAATTCCAGCACTTTGACCCAGTGACAGTGAAAGAACGGTGATACATTTTCCAAGTCAGGATGGTAGGTGACTTGGAGGGTAACTTGGACGTTGTGGTTTTTTCATATGTCTGATGCCCTTGTCCTTCTAGGTGGAAGTGGTCGTGGGTTTGGAAGGTGCTGTCTGAGGATATTTGGTGATTTTCTGCAGTGCATCTTGTGGATAGTACACACTGCTGCTACTGAGAATCGGAGATAGTAGTCCAGATCCGAAACATCAGCTTTCCTGCTCCTCTGATCCTGCCTGACCTGCTGTGTTCATCCAGCTCCACACCTTGCTACTGAGAATCGATGATGGAGGGAGTGAATCCTTGTGGATGTAGTGCCAATCAAGCAGGCTGCTTTTTCCTGGATGGTGTTCAGCTTCTTGAGTGTTGTTGGGGTTGCACTATCCAGACAAGTGGGGTGTATTCCATCACACTCCTGGCTTGTGCCTTGTAGAAGGCAGGCAGGCTTTGAGGAGTCAGGAGGTGAGTTACTCGCTGCAGTATTCCTAGCTTCCGGCCTGCTTTTGTAGCCAGTCTAATGTGGTGAGTCCAGTTGAGTTTCTGGTCAATGATAACACCCAGGATGTTGAAAGTGGGGGTTTCAGTGATGGTAACATCATTGAATGTCAAGGGACGGTGGTTGGTTTGTCTCTTGTTGGTGGTGGTCATAGTCTGGCATTTGTGTGGCGCAAACGTCACATGCCACTTGTCAGCCCAATCCTGGATATTGTCCAGATCTTGTTGCATTTGAACATGGACTGCTTCAGTATCTGAGGAGTCACAAACGGTGCTGAACTTTGTGCAATCATCGGCAAACATCCCCATTTCTGATCTTATGATGGAGGGGAGGTCATTGATGAAGCAGCTGAAGATGGTTGGGCCTGAGGAATTCCTGCAGAGATGTCCTGGAAGCTGAGATGATTGATGTCCAACAACCACGACCATCTTCCTATGTATCAGGTATGACTCCAAACATCGGAGAGTTTGCCTCCTGATACCCACTGATTTCAGTTTTGTCAGGGCTCCTTGATGCCACACTCGGTTGAATGCAGCCTTGATATCAAGGGCTCTCACTGTCACTGTCACCTCACCTCTGGAATTCATCTCTTTTGTCCATGTTTGAACCAAGGCTGTAATGAGATCAGGAGCTGAGTGGCCCTGGCGGAACCCAAACTGGGTGTCACTGAGCAGGTTATTTCTGAGCAGGAGCTGCTTGATAGCACTGTTACTGACACCTTCCATCAATTTACTGATGATTGAGAGTAGACTAATGGGGTGGTAACTGGCCGGGTTGGAATTGTCCTGCTTTTTGTGTACAGGACATACTTAGGCAATTTTCCACATTGTCAGGTAGATACCAGTGTTGTAACTGTACTGGCTTGGCTAGGGGAGTGGCAAGTTCTGGAGCACAAGTCTTCAGTACTATTGCCGGAATGTTGTCAGTAGCCTTTGCACGATCCAGTTTCCAACTGTTTCTTAATGGAGTGAATAAATTGGCTGAAGACTGGTATCTGTAACGCTGGGGACCACTGGACATGTCTGAGATAGATCATCCACTCAGCACTTCTGGTTGAAGATTGCTGCGAATGCTTCAGCCTTATCTTTTGCACTGATGCGCCGGGTTCTTCCATCATTGAGGATGGGGATATTTGTGGAGCTTCCTCCTGCAGTGAGTTGTTTAATTGCCCACCACCATTCACGACTGGATGTGGCAGGATTGCAGAGTTTGGATCTGATCTGGTTGTGGAATTGCTTAGCTCTGTCTATCACTTGCTGCTTTCGCTGTTTGGCGTGCAAGTAGTCCTGTTTGGTGGCTTCACCAGGTTGATACCTCATCTTCAGGTATGCCTGGTGCTGCTCCTGGCATGCCCTCCTGCACTCTCCACTGAACCAGGGTTGATCCCCTGGCTTGATGGTAATGGTTGAGTGGGGGATATGCCGAGCCATGAGGTTACAGATTGTGCTGGAGTACAATTCTGCTGCTGTTGATGGCCCACATGGCCTCATGGATGCCCAGACGCTAGATCTGTGCGAAGTCTGTCTGATTTAGCATGGTGATAGTGCCACATGACTCGATGGAAGTTATTCTCAATGTGAAGGCGGAATTTCGTCTCCACAAGGACTGTGCGATGGTCACTCTTACCGATACTGTCATGGGCAGATGCAACTGCAGCTGGCAGATTAGTAAGGATGAGGTCAAGTATGTTTTCCTCTCTTGTTGTTTTCCCTCTTGTTTTCATGCAGAAGGTGATGCTTGTGTGGAACAAGCTGCCAGAGGAAGTGGTGGAGGCTAGTATAGTTACACCATTTAAAAGGCATCTGGATGGATACATGAATAGGTAAGGTTTAGAGGTATTGGGCCAAATGCTGGCAAATGGGACGAGATCAGCTGAGGATATCTGGTCGGTGCGGATGAGTTGGACCATACGGTCTGCTTCCATGCTGTATAAATGTATGACTCTATGCCTTTACTGGGCATGGTATTGGGATATAATGTAGCAGCAGTGAATAATGGACAAATATTTTCAATCCTTTTCCAGGTGACTCGCCTGTCCCAGTTTCTGGGTTCGTTGGGGAGCAGGTTGTGCTGCCCTGTACCTACAGTGGGAATGTCTCAGTCTCTGATTTACAGATAATATGGGGGACACCCAAATGTGAAAGTTTACACAAGTTTGTCAATGGGAGTGATGATTTGAGAGAACAAGACCCACGGTTCAGAAACAGAACAAACCTGTTCAAAGATCAACTGGAAAAAGGCAACTGGTCAGTTATGATCTCTGACCTCAGGGAGACAGACCAGGACGAGTATGAGTGTCAGATTTACAGCAGGATGGGAGATCGCTTTCGATGGGAGGAAGTTGTTTCCGTCCAACTCTCTGTCACAGGTGAGAGGTTTCTGTTCCAGCTATTAGGTTTAATCTCTGATTTGAAATGGTGCATTCATTGTTGACTAGTCTAGAGTCTCTGAACATTTCTGCAGTTTGTTTCACACACTATACTAAACACATAATGTTTTCTTTAGAGCAAGCTCCTACACCTGGACCGAACACACCTGTACCAGGTAAATCTGTTTCTAAGCTACTGCATGTGTTTTCAGCTCTTACATTTGATCGTGCTGGATAGACAGGCAGTAACATTGGAAAGTTTGAAATGCTGTGATATATCTTACCAAGAATGACTTTGAATGTTAGCGTTGTGGGTCATTGTTACCTTGAACTCATCCTTAAACTCCCTGAAATTGTTATTACTGTTTTTGAGACTCACTTTCCTGTCCCTTAAATACAGAACTCTGAGGATTCCTGCTTCCTACAAGCATTAGTGTCACTGGAATTCTGTGTGGAGTGTTTTGGTATAATTTTAACAGAACTCTCCTGTTGGGAAAACTGATGGGATTGGCATTGATTCTAGTTATAATCAGTGAAGAATAATATTGACGCGGGTGTAAACAGACATGCACAAAGTATGACACAGATGCGTCTGTTTAAAACTAATAACCAGAACTGTCATTATAAATAATGTGTTACCAAGTGTTAACCTTTTCAGACCATGGCTTGAATCCTAATATTTTCATGTTGAGGCACCAGCGACGGTAGAGTTGGAAAGTAAAGAAGGCAAGTCCTGTATCCAGATTCTGCAACCACATAGGCCCTTCTGCCACGTGTCCAAATTTCTGTTGGCTTATTCGGTCACATGTACATCGATGGTGGAAACTCTCAACCATAAGTACACGCCATCCACAGATCCACGGAACAGGAAATAAAGACGCAAGTTACTGATCAGTGCTAATTGTAAATCCAGTGTAACCATGTGAATCTTGCAATGTAATGTACCAGTAGGGAGGTTATATCTATGGATAAATACTTTCAATCTTTTCCAGGTGACTCGCCTGTCCTAGTTTCTGGATTCCTTGGAGAGCAGGTTGTGCTGCCCTGTAACTACAAAGGGAATGTCCCAGTCTCTGATTTACTGGTAATCTGGAGGATACACAAAAGTGTAATTGTTCACAAGTTTGTCAATGGGAATGATGATTTGTCAGAACAAGGTCCACTGTTCAGAAACAGAACAAACCTGTTCAAAGATCAACTGGAACAAGGCGGCTGGTCAGTTCTGATCTCTGACCTCAGGAAGACAGACCAGGACGAGTATCAGTGTCAGATTTACAGGAAGACGTCTGCAGGGTTATATTGGGAGCAAACTGAATGTGTTCATCTCTCTGTAACAGGTGAGAGGTTTCCTCTATTTCAGGAATTCTCTATTTAAGCTCTAATTTTATGGCAATGATATTGCAGGGGTTATGTTACAAGTTGAGTAGTCCAGAGACCTGGACTAATCATCCAGAAACTGGGAGTTCAAATCCCATCATGACACTTTCAGAATTTAAATTTAAATTCAGTTTATTAAATTAAAAGTTGGTCCCAATAAAAGTGACCATGAAGCTGTTGAAACTGGTTCATTCATATCCCTTTTGGGAGGAAACCTGCTATGCTTAGCTGTTCTGGTCTATGTGTGACTCCAGTCCCACATTAACCTGGTGACTTTTGACTGCCCCCTGACTTGTTCAGTCACTTCAATCAAACCACTAGATAGATTGGCATAGAACTGAATGGACGATTGGCTGCAAACTAGGAACTGAGTCTGGACACAACAAAGACATACACCCAGCCTTATCAACATGGCTAAGTACCTACTGCTAATGCTAATTCATTGGGCTGCTGGATTTAATTAAAGGGAGGCTGTTGCTGGTCAGTGTCCAGTTCTCTATTGGAAAGCATGTGTCGATCCCACTGTGGGGCAGTATGCGTGTGCAAGGAGTTTAGGGTGGTCTGGTGTGTGTATGTAATTATGGGTATCTAACCTCCCACATCCCTCCAGGAGTAGAATTCCCAGGGATCTGTTTGTATTGGGAGATAGCAAGAGCTGCAGATGCTGGAGTCATAGCTAACACCGTATGGAGCTGGAAGAACACAGCAGGCCAGGCAGCATCAGAGGAGCAGGAAAGTTGATGTTTCGGGTCGGGACCCTTCTTCAAAAATGGGGAGGAGGAAGGCAGCTCAGAAATAAATAGTGAGGAGAGGTGGGGCTGGGGAAGGTAGGTGGGATGGTGATAGATGAGTGCGAGTAGGGAGTGGTGGGGATTGGTCAGTGGGATGGGAGAGGCAGATAGGTAGGAGAGAAGATGGACAGGTTGTGTCAGGTCAAGGAGGTGGGGATGAGAGGGTAGGTTAGACATGGGATGAGGCCAGGGATGGGGAGATTTTAAAACTGGTGAATTCAATGTTCAGGCCATCGGGCTGTAGACTCCCGAGGCAGAATATGAGGTGCTGCTGCTCCAGTTTGCATGTGGTGTTATTGTGGCACTGGAGGAGGCCCAGGGAGTGGGAGGGTGAGTTAAAATGGTTAGCGACTGGAAGGTATTGTCATTTGTCGCGAACAGAGCGCAGATGGTCTACAAAACTGTCTTCGAGTCTACGCTTGGTCTCACTGATGTAGAGGAGGCCACATCGGGAGCTGCAGATACAGTACACCAGGTTGGACGATGTGCAGTCGAACCCCTGTTTATTATGGAAGGTTTGTGTTGTGCCTTGAAGGGAGGTGAGGGAAGGTGTAGGGACAGGTGCAGCACTTCCTGCTGTTGCAGGGAAAGCTTCTGGGAGTGGTGGGGTGATTGAGGAGTGTGGACTGGACGAGGGAGTCATGGAGAGAATGGTCCCTACGAAATGCAGATAGGAGTGGGGAGGGAATAAATATCTTTGGTTGTGGAGTTGGATTGTCGGTGGCGGAAATAGCAGAGAACGATACATTGGATGCGGGCGTTGGTGGGGTGAAATGTGAGGAAAGGGGGATTCTGTCTATGTATCTGATGCGGGGAGGGGATGTGAGGGCAGAAGTGCAGGAAATTCAAGAGATGCGGTTGAGAGCATTTTCGTTCACCGGCTATGTATAAGTCTGTGCGCCATACCATGACTGCGCCTCCCTATCTGCAGGTTTGATGGTGAAGTTAGGGTTGGAGCGGAGGGAATAGAGGGCTGCACGTTCTGTGAGGGAAGAGGTTGGAGTGAGTGAGAGGGGTGGAGAGGTTGAGGCGATCGATGTCGCGATAGCAGTTGGAATTGAAGAGGTCGAGGGAGGGTAAGAGGCCATGGGGCGGTGTCCATGAGGATGGGCTATGTTGGAGAAGGGATCTGTAGAAGGTGGGTTAGACTCGCAGTTAAAGAAAGAGGTACGGTGGCGGAAAAAGCGTTCAACGTCCAGACGTAAATGGAATTCAATGTGTGGGCACAGGGGAATGAAGGTGAGTCCTTTGGTGAGGACAGACCTTTTGTCCTCAGTGAGGGGGAGGTCTGGGGGGATGGTTAAGAGCCAGCAGGGTTTGGGGCTGGGTCTACTGTATCCGCTGCTCCCGATGTGGCCTCCTCTACATCAGTGAGACCAAGCGTAGACTCGGAGACCATTTTGTAGAGCATCTGCGCTCTGTACACGACAAATGACAACACCTTCCGGTCGGCAGCCATTTTAACTCCCCCACTCACTCCATCTGTGACACGTCCATCCTGGGCCTCCTCCAGTGTCACAATGATGCCACCCACAAACTGGAGGAGCAGCACCTCCTATTCTGCCTCGGGAACCTACAGCCTGATGGCCTAAACGTGAATTTCCTCAGTTTTAAAATCTCCCCACCCTGGCCTCATCCCATGTTCAACCCTCTGTCTCATCCCCTCCTCCTTGACCTGACATAACCTCTCCATCTTCTCTCCCACCTATCTGCCCCTCCCATCCCACTGACCAATCCCCACCACTCCCTACTTGCACTCACCTATCACCATCCCACCCAACTTCCCCAGCCCCACCCCTCCTCTCTCTATTTATTTCTAAGCTCCCTTCCCTCTCCCCATTTCTGAAGAAAGGTCCTGACCCGAAATGTCAACTTTCCTGCTCCTCTGATGCTGCCTGGCCTGCTGTGCTCTTCCAGCTCCATACTATTATCTCTGCTTGCATGGGACTGGTTCTGAAACACTAGGGGCTGAGGGTCTCTGCTGTTAGTTTTGTTCATGTGTCACAGTCTGTTAATGTTCATGTGTCACAGTCTGTTAATGGCTTCATTCTATCTCTAGGTGCTGGAATCTCCACTAGAAGACCTATTGGATTGGGAATCGGAATTAGCTCCTTCCTTTTTATTGTAGTTGGTGTTTGTGTGTCCCAAATGCAACAAAGCTGGTAGGTTCCAGAATGGTTTCATTCGGCAATAATACTGTGAAGACTTGTGCTCCAGAACTTGCCACTCCTCTCGTCAGTAATGTTACAACACTGGCACCTACCTGACAATGCAGAAAATTGCTCAACTAAGTTTTTTTTTATACAAAGTGCCGGACAAATCCAATCTGACTATTACCGTTCCATCAACCTCCAGTCGAATATCAGTATAGTGATGGAAGGTGTCATCAACAGTGCTACCAAGCAGCGCCTGCTCAGCAATAGCCTGCTCAGTGACGCCCAGTTTAGTTTCCGCCAGAGCCACTCAGCTCCTGACCTCATTACAGCCTAGGTTCAAATATGGACAAAAGAAATGAATTCCAGTGGTAAGGTGAAATGACAGCCCTTGACATCAAAGCTGCATTCGACTGAGTGTGGCATCAAGACATCCTAGCAAAACTGGAATCAATGGGAATCCAGGGGCTAACTCTCCATTGGTTGAAGTCATACGTGGCACATAGGAAGACGGTTGTGGTTGTTGGACGTCAGGCGTCTCAACTCCAGGATATCTCTGCCAGAGTTCCTCAGGATAGTGTCCTAGGCCCAACCATCTTCAGCTGCTTCATCAATGACCTTCCCTCTATCATCATAATATCAGAAATGAGGATGTTCGATGATTGCACAATATTCAGTTTCATTCGCAACACCTCAGATACTGAAGCAGCCAATGCTCAAATGCACCAAGACTTAGACAGTTTCCAGGCTTGGGCTGACAAGTGGCAAGTAATGTTTGTGACACACAAATGCCAGACAATGACCATCTCCAATAACAGACAATCTAACACATGTCTCTTCAAGGTTCATCTTCTGCAGAACCAAGTTACTATGTTGTTTCATGTTGTTGAGCACTCTCTATTTCCTGAGCTGTGAGGATGCTTCAATCCAGCCTGTCTTTGAGCAGCATCATCCAGTCACTTCCAGCTTGTCATCCTCTTGCTGCTGAACAGTCACCGTGGATTGGAAAGGAGCAAGTATTATCCCACTGGAGAACCAGAGGATGGGGCATATATTTGGAATTTCAGGAAGTATTTAAGAAGGTGTCACACAATAGGTTGTTGTACAAGATGAGGGCTCGGGGGATTGGGGGTAATATAGCATGGATTGAGGATTGATTAGGAAGAGAGGAGCAAGAGTAGGCCATTCAGCCCCATGAATCTGCTTTGCCATTCTAGATGTTCAGGGATTTCAGACATCATTGCTCACAATTTAATCAAAAGCTAACATGCAGGTGTAGCAAGATGATGGCCAATCGTCTACCTCAACACCATATTCCTCTGATCTCCCCGTATACCTTATGTCTTTAGTCTCTAGAAATCTATCGGTCTCTATTTTAAACTTGCTTTAATGACTGACCTTCCACAGTCTCCAGAAATTCACCATCCTCTGAGTGAGGTTCCTCCTCATTTTGGTCCTAAACGACTTTAATTTTATTGTTTGTCTGTGCCCCACGATTCTAGACCTCAAAGCCAGGGGAACCATCATCCTTTCTGCATAAACTGCCTATCCCTTTTTGGAATTTTGTTAGTTTCTGTGGGATCACCTCTCATTCTTCTAAGGATCAGATAATATTGGCCTAAGCTCCTCAAACTTCTACCTTATTGCCAGTACCACCAGGAATCAGGCTGGTGAACCTCTGCTGCATTTCGTCAATGACAAGTATGCCCTTTGGTAATAGGACCAGAACTGCATGCACTGTTTCAAGTGTGGTCTCACCAGTGTTGTACTCAACGGGAGCAAGATGACTTTTCTCCTGTGCTCAAAACTGCTTTCTATAAAGCCCAGCATACTGTTTGCTTTCTAAATTGCTTGCTGCACCTGTATGTTAGCTTTTGATAAGTTGTGAGCAATGATGTCTGAAGTCCCTGAACATCAACACTTTCTAATTTCTCCCCATTCTATAAATACTCTGCATCTCCATTCCTCCAATCAAAATGATTAACGGACAGAAACCGAGCAGTACTATCTTTGTCAATGGTGCTGTATAGATCTGTTCTAGGGCCTCAATATTCACAGTCTATATCAATTACCTAGATTTTTGCCACATGAATTCGAGGGGCTGAAGGGCCTCTTCTGTACTGTATAATTCTATGGTCAGGGTAATGCATACAATTACGGATGACGCAGTGTTGGATGGGAAAGTAAGCAGTAAGGAGGGCACAGAGACTGCAACTCTGATGTAGGCCTGTTCAATGATTGGGCAATAATGATGGAGATGGAGTACAGTTTTGGAAGTGTGAATGGAAAAGTAGAATTTTTCAAAAGCATGAGGCCAGTAAGTAGCATTCAGAGAGATTTGTACTCCAGTCTAGAAAACTCAAATTTGCAAACATTATGGTCTTGTTCAAGAAAAAGTTGTAACGATAAGCCCAGCAGTTACAAACTAGTCAACACAAGATCAGTGGTAGGGAAGCTACTGGAAATGATTATTCAGGAGAGAATTAGTAGTCGCATTGGAAAAGGTGAGTTAATTGGGAAGATTTCTCAAGGGGAAAGCGTGATTAACTAACTTGGAATTTTTCCTTTGAAGAGGTAGAAGAAAGGGTTGCTGAGGGTAGTGCTGTTGATATGGTGTACATGCTTTACACAATTATCCAAAATTTTAAAATATAATGTGCACTCTACTGATCTTTCTTCTCTAGGAGTTCATGGTCAATACTGACTTTTCTGTGATTTGAAATGATACATTGAATCGGGTTTTGACAGAAGTGACCTGTTCAAGTGAAGCACGGAGCCTTGTGATAGCAGCACCTGAGCATCAGGATGGAGCGGCTGGAGAACAAAACCTTCTGGGGAACAGGGCTGTCCAGCACTAACTGAGTTCCAATGCACTAAGCCTGGATTCCACAGATTCACCAACATCCGGCTGAAGAAATTTCCTCTCATCTCAGATCTACAGGGTCGCCCCTTCACTCTGAGGCCGTGGCCTCAAGTACTTGTTTCTCCTAATTGTGGAAACATCTTTTCCACATCCACTCTAAATGCAACTTGCTGTTATTCAAACCTCCTCCAGCATTTTCAAACCTCTCCCTTGATCCAGGCATCAGAGGATCCAGTGACTGGGAAGACCATCTCAGACTTCCTTGTTTCACTCAATATCCACATCTTTGTGTTCACTGCCTTTCCTGACATACACCCCTCACAGTGAGAGGAGGAACTATTGCAGGGTTCTCTCAAACTGTCTTCTGGCTCGCCCTGTGTTGGTCAGCCCAGGTCCTGTGGAGTGTCCAGTTTTTGCTCATTGCCTTCCCTATAAGCCTCCTCTCCTCTACACTCTGTGCTCCTGTCACCCATTTTCCAGCTGCCGTTGGTCCCCATGATGTTGAGTATCACTTAACGGCTCTGTGCTCCTGAACAGCTCCTTTACACACGTATCCAATGTTCTGAATTCTTTTAATGTAACCTGTAGTCTCGTGGTTTCTCTCTCCTAGGAATTGTGTTCGAAATCGATACTCAGGCAATCGAAATGAAGCATCAAATGATGTCCCCGTGACAAAAGTGACCTGTTCAGGAGGAGCACAGAGCCTTGTGCCAACAGCAGCTGAGCATCAGGATGGAGCGACTGGAGAACAAAACGTTCTGGGGAATAGGGCTGTCCTGAACTGAGTTTCCCCTGCACTGAGCCTGGCTCAGGGAGGGGGAAATCAGTCCAGTGCTGTGGCCTTGTAGCAGGTGTATGATACAGTGCCACACAATAGACTTGAGGAAAGCTATAGGTCATGGAATAAAATGGACTCCAGCAACTTGGATTTGGCTGAGGGATAAAAAATGGAATAATAGTCAAAGTGGATATTTGTCAGGCTGGAGGCACTCTTCCTCAAAGCTTGCTAAGAGGCCAGTACTAAGACCCTTTATTTTCCTGATATATTTCAAAGTTTACAGATGACACGTAACTTGGAAGAATTGTTTGCTGTGAGGACAGTGTAGAACTGCAAAAGGTCATAGACAACTTGGTGGAGTTGACTGATGGGAGGTAGACTTGGTCCAATGTAGAGAAGTATGAGATGTTGCACGTTTGTTCAGAGGAACCTTGAAAGATAATGTAAAATAGAAGGTATAATTCTAAGAGGAGTTGCAGGAGCAGAGGGGCCTGGGTATACATGTTCACAGGTGGCGGACAGATGGAGAGAGCAGTTCGTACAGCATCAGCTTTATTCGCAGGGGCATGGAGTGGGAGACCAAGGATGTGATGTCTAAGACACTTGGACAGAAGGAGGATGATAGGAGATCAAATGGAGGTTTTCAAAATCACCAGTGGGTTTGATAGAAAGGGAGAAAATGTTCCCATTGCAAAAAGGATTGAGAATCAGACAGATTTAAATTGCTTTTCAAAAGAAGCAAATGCAAACTGATTTTTGTTTTCAGAAGTTTTCACTTGGTGAGAGTTAAGGTATGGAATGTGCTGCCTGGCAGTATGCTGAAGAAGTTCCATTGAGGCATTCAAGAAAGTGTTGTGAAGTTGTATAGTGTACTTGTGAATTGGAAGGCAGGAAGTTAGAATTTGTTTAAAGTTTTGGCTAAGATCTGTAGCTCGGGTTGTGGGCGAGATTGGTGACTTGCTCACTGAGCTGGCTCGTTCTTATTCAGACGATGGAGAACCATGCCTCTAGGAATTCCCGTGCGTGTCTGTTTTGCTTGGGCTACTATGGTTACCTTGTCCCAGTTAAAGTGATGGCCTTCATTGTCTGAGTGTGCTGATGATAAGGATAGTTCGTCGTGCCGTTTTGCTGCAGTTGACGTTCACGTATTCTGATGGCTAGTTTCCTTCCTGTCTATGCCACAAACATTACATCGGACAGACAGGAAGGAAACTAGCCATCAGAATACATGAACATCAGCTAGCAGCAAAATGGCACGACGACGTCTCCTCATTATTGGTACACTCAGACAATGAAGGCCATCAGCTTAACTGGGACAAGGTAACCATAGTAGCCTGAGCAAAACATAGACACGCACAGGAATTCCTAGAGGCATGGTTCTCCGCCCATTATGCAATCAATAAACACATAGAATTGGACCCCATATTACAAACCCATACAGATCACAACCGGAAATGACACTACTCACCATAACAATCCAGGCAGTATAAATTCCAAGCAGAGTAGAATAACACCGTTTCATCGGAGGCTCCACTGATGATGTCGCCTAGTACAGTGACGAAACTTCTGAACAAGAACAGGCCAGCTCGGTGAGCAAGTCAACAACCTGAGTTAAAATTTGTTTGCAATTTGTCACCCAGAAGAGGGCAGCAGAGTGGTGACACTGATCGGCTGACATGGGGAAGATTTGCATCAGTGCAGTCACTGCTTCCAGAAGGTGGATTGTGAAGGGGTTGTTGTCAAGTGATAGTTCATCCTAAAATGTTTTGTCAATGTTTCTTCCTTTACTTCTTTCTCACACCACTGTGAGAACCAGAAGCAAGGGAAAGATCCGGACAGCATCCTGGAAAGGTGAGTTAAAGAAAATCTACCTCAGTTATTTGCAGCAGTAAATTTTCTTAAGCAGCTTGTTTAGTGATAGAAATGTCAGTCAGTGGGGTTAAGAGCTGCACTTGTGAGATGTGGGAGATCTGTGATGTTTCCAGTGTCTCGGGTGACTACATCTGCAGGAAGTGCACCCAATTGCAACTCCTCACAGACTGCATGGATAGGTTGGAGCGGCAATTGAATGCAATTAGGAGCATGAGGATGGCAGAAAGCATCACAGACGGTAGTTTTAAAGATGTGGTGACAGCCAAGGTGCAGGCAGATAGATGGGTGACCGCTAGAAGGGGCAGGCACCCATTACAGGAATCTCTTGTGGTTGTCCCTCTCTCTAACAAATATACCATTTTGGATAATGCTGGGGGTGGATGACCTATCAGAGGATAACAGCAGCCAGACTGGGTGCACCATGGCTGGCTCTATTCTTAGAAGGGAAGGACAAAGAGCACTAGAGCAGTAGTTATAGGGGACTCTTACAGTTAGGGGTACAGATAGGCACTTCTGTGGATGTAAAAGAGACTCTAGGATGGTGTGTTGCCTCCCTGGTGCCAGGGTCCAGGATGTCTCTGAAAGTGCAGAAAGCATTCTGAAGGGAAAGGGTGAACAGCCAGAGGTTGTTGTACATGTTGGTACTAACAACATAGGTAGGATGAGGGACAAGGTCCTGCAGCAGCAGTTCAGGGAGTTAGGTAGAAAGTTAAAGAGCAGGACCTCCAAGGTTGTAATCTCAGGATGAATCCCTGTGCCACGTGCCAGTGAGGCTAGAAATAGGAAGATAGTACAGCTCAACACGTGGCTAAACAGATGATGTAGGAGGGAGGGTTTCAGATATCTGGACCATTGGGATCTCTTCCAGGGCAGGTGGGACCTGTACAAGAAGGAGGGATTGCATCTAAACTGGAGGGGCATAAATATTCTGGTTTGCTGGTGTCACTCGGGAGGATTTAAACTAGCTTGGCAGGGAGGTGGGAACCAAATCAAAGGTGAATTGACTGAAAGGGAACGAGAGAACACAGCCAATACGACTCAGAGGAAGAGCAGGCAGAGTGTGGTTGCTGATCAATCTGGTGAACTGAAGTGCATCTGTTTCAATGCCAGAAGTGTAACCGATAAGGCAGGTGAATTTAGAGCTTGGATTAGAACTTGGAACTATGATGTTGTTGCTATTACAGAGATTTGGTTAAGGGAGGGACAAGATTGGCAGCTTAACGTTCCAGGATACAGATGTTTCAGGTGGGATAGAGGGGATGTAAAAGGGGTGGAGGAGTTGCACGACTTGTTCAGGAGATTATCACAGCTGTACTGCGGGAGGACACCTCGGATGGCTCATACAACAAGGCAATATGGGTAGATCTCAGGAACGGGAAGGGTGCAGTCACAATGTTTGGGGTTTACTATAGGCCTCCCAACAGCCAGCGGGAAATGTAGGCAGATTTTGGCAAGATGTAAAAGTAGCAGGGTTGTTGTCATGGATGATTTTGACTTCCCATATATTGGCCGGCACTCATTTAGTCCTTGGGCACGGATAGGGCAGAGTCTAAGGGGCATTCAGGAGGGCTTCTTGAAACAGGTATGTAGATACTCCAACTAGGAAACGGGCAGTACTGGTCCTAGTATTGGGAAATGAGCCTGGCCAGGTGGTCAGTGCCCCAGGTGGGGATCAGCTCGGGAATTGTGATCATAATTCAGTAAGCTTTAAGGACTGATGGATAAAGATAAGTGTAGTTGTCAGGTGAAGCTGCTAAATTGGGGAAAGGCTAATTACAACAATATTAGGCAGGAACTGAAGAATGTAGATTGGAGGCAGATGTTTGAGGGCAAATCAACATCTGGTATGTAGGAGGCTTTCAGGTGTAAGTTGGTGGCATGTTCCTGTAAGGATGAAGGATCAGTATGGCAAAAACCTTGGATAACAAGAGATATTGTGACCATAATCAAAAAGAAAAAGGAAGCATTTGTAGAGGCCAGGAGGCTGGGAATAACCAAGGGTGGAAAGTCGAAAGAAACTTAATCAAGGAGTCATGAAAATTCATTGGCCAACAGGATTAAGGAAAATCCTAAGGCTTTTTATACATAAGAGCAAGAGGATAGCCAGGGAGTTCCTGGCCCACTCAAGGACTGGGAAGGAAGTTTGTGTGTGGAGCCAGAGAGGACATGGGCGAGGTATTCAATGAGTACTTTGTGTCAGTATTCACCATAGAGAAGGACTTGGTGGATGATGAGTCTGGGAAAGGATGTGTAGACAGTTTGGGTCATTTTGAGATCAAAAGGGAGGAGGTATTGGGGGTCTTGAAAAACATTAAGGTAGACAAGTCCCCAGGGCCTGATGGGGTACACCCTAGAATACTGAGAGGCAATGGAGGAAATTTCTGGGACCTTGAGAGAAATCTTTGTATCCTCACTGGCCACAGGGGAGGCCTCAGAGGATTTGGAAAAAGTCAATGTTGTTCCTTTGTTTAAGAAGGGTGGCAAAGATAATCCAACTAATTACAGGCAGGTGAGCCTTATGTCAGTGGTAGGGAAATTATTGGAGAGGATTCTTCAAGACAGGATTTATTCCCACTTGGAAATAAGGGCATATTAGCAACAGGCAACATGGTTTTGTGAAGGAGAGGTCGTGCCTCACTAACTTGGTTGAGTTTTTTTGAGGAAGTGACAAAGATGATCGATGAAGGTAGGGCAGTGGATGTTGTCTACGTGGACTTCAGTAAGGCCTTTGACAAGGTCCCTCATGGCAGGCTGATACAGAAGGTAAAGTTGAACAGGGTCAGAGGTGAGCTTGCAAGATGGATAAAAAAACTGGCTCGGTCATAGATGACAGACGGTAGCAGTGGAAGGGTGCGTTTCTGAATGGAGAGCTGTAACTAGTGGCGTTCCTCAGGGATCAGTGTTGGGACCTTTTGCTATTTGTAATATATATAAATGATTTGGAGCAAAATGTAACTGGTCTGATTAGTAAGTTTGCTGCTGACAGAAAGGTTCGTCGAATTGCAGATAGTGATGAGGGCCATCAAAGGATACAGCAGGAATTAGATCAGTTGGTGACTTGGGCAGAGAGATGGCAGATGGAGTTTAATCTGGAAAAATGTGAAGTAATGCATTTCGGCAGAACTAATCCAGATG